TATTTGGCATTTTAACCTGTGTGTATTACCTTGTGTGTCTATACCAAGGCCACACATTCCAGGGTTTGTAAACGTTTGATCCGGGCCATTTGGGTGATTTCTGTTATCATTACGATTTAAAAAGTAGCCAAACAACTATGTGATAATAAATGGCTTCTTATGATCACTATCCTCAAATAAAAGACAGTTTTTTGGCATGATCAGTCATATTTTCAATATCAATGCCAGAATTTCATGATTTCTGCCAAGGTATACAATCTTTTGAGCACAACTGGTATTTTGCTTTTTATTTGTGTTATTTTAGTGGCGAAATGTTGTGGCCATCATTCTTGTCCATGCAATGGAAGGAGCTCCAGACCAAAGCATAAAAAAGTGCAAATTCATTTAATAGTTTATACTAAAAACAGCCAAAGCATTTTGGGGGTCAGAAAAAAACTTCCCCTTCATCAGGGCTTCAGTTAAAATAAGATCCTTGAACTGCCTCAAAATAGAGCTTTCCTGTGTGAACCTAATTGCTGGATTAGGAGAGTCACTGGCCAGCAGTATCTGTTTAAGCAATCAAAATCAAGCATTCCTTCTAGACATGTGCGATTCGTTTTGTTACGAATCAATATTCAGACAAAATTTTCAAAAAGTCGCAAGCAAGTACCATCAAAATTGCAAGCAAGTTGCATTGAAAAGTCGCAAGCAAGTCGACGAAATAACAATGACATAACAATTGAATCCAAATCTTCTGAATCAATTCAGAACAATGAATATAAAAACCAAATATGAATATATGAGACAAATTCAGAAAATGAATCATTCTAACATAAAGAATACGACAAAAGGAAATGATTGACTTAAGGAATGAATCCTAAATTAAACAAATTTTTTGGTCATGCACATCTCTAGTTCCTTTCATTAGTGCATGCTTTTTTTGGGCAATCTGCTGGGGTACCCAGTGGAGGGTAGCCTTGTCTGTTGTGATCAGCCTAACCTGAATCAGTCAGCTTTCCAAATGTTTTCGTCTTCTCATTACCTTGTATAAACTCACATCAAAGTCCCAGCACCTCACTGATGCCTTCATTGGAATCATTCTTGTCAATGATATTCTCGCTCGAAACACAAATAATACCTTCACAGACAATGTTCATTTGCACAGGATCATTTTTGACATGATCAGTGTTTGATGGCTCCGACTATAAAACACTAGCTATAGATTTCCTGTATTTTTAAAGAGACCCAGTCATGGCAAAAGATGACCCTAAAGGAAGGTGCCCTACAAAAGAAAGATATTGTACTTACCTTTCTGGCAGCTGATTTATTTTGTGTTCAAGGTAAGGATTAATCAATACAAAAGTATTTTAGATCATATTATGATAAATACGTAGTGACTACTAGAGCCTGATAATATGCCCATTTCTCAAACAGTTGGAGTAAGGGGTAAACACTATTTTCAATATTAAAAAAAGAAAAAAATTATACTATTCCATAGTTGTATAGAGTTATATAGTTAGAGTATTAGAGCTATATAGTATTTTTGTATTTTTATATGGTTTTAGCACTGTAATATGTTTTCAGCAACCCTATCAGGTAAAAGATAATCCTAAAGGAAAGGGGCCCTATGAGAATATTGGATGCCTGTGCCCTACCACTACTCATTAAGGTTTAATATTCTGACCTTTATCTACATACAGGACACTAGAGTGACGTAGAAAGGTTTGGAAGATGGAACCCTAATGCATGGAGGGGTACACAGGCATCTGACACTCCTGGATGTCAAATGCTGAAAAGACTGACAGAAACATGGGCCACTGGTGTAGCACTACCCTCTTAGGAGTTGCTGAAGTTTTGGGTCCCCTTAACGTCCTACAGCCAGCAAAACATATTTCCACACCAACTTGCATTCAGGAGTCAGTAACCAGTCCTCAAGCTTGTTTTTTGGGATTTTATTAGGGGGATTTCAACTTGAGTGGGTTAAGGAGTATACTGGATGCCCAATGGACCTGAGAAACCAAGGACAAGTTCCTGAGCTATGTACAAGTGGTCACAGCAAATAGTGTCTTCTGGAGAGCTAGCCAGCATCTCCTGTAGTACCACCCCAGACTCTAGATACTCCTTATCCAGCTGTTCTGGGCGAATACCTGAGCAGGGGATCTGGTGTCTGCCAATAGATAGTGAAACAGTCCTGGGTGGCAGGCTAATCTTGCTTCCTACTAGTGTGCCTCATTCCCCTTTATGGCCCAAAGAGTGCAGGTCGGTGGGTTGGTGGGTGGCTGCTACCAAGCCTCTAGCTGGGTGTCTCCTTCCCTGAAACACAGGTGATCCTCGCTCTGGGGGGTGGTGAAGGTCTCAGCTTTCCTCCTTCCAAGCTCCACTGCCTGTAGGTGAGCCATTCTCCATCTTGGCCCCCTCCCAGGTTCCTCTCTCAAGCTTCCCCCAACTTCTACCTGAGCTCTTTTCCTCCTCCTCCTCCTCCAACTCCCCCCCCTGCTGAGCAAACTCTGTCACTATTAAGGGCTGTCCTGGCCCCTTGCTAAGCCTCCTGTTGGAAATTGGCCAGGATCCATCAAAAACTTAGATCAGCCACTCCTCAGATCCACCCACTGCTTTTAGACCATTCTTCAAAGTTCTAGAGCAGGGGGAAATTCCAGAGGGCTTGTCTACAGAGCCTCTCGGCTATGAACCCTGCTAGCCATCATGCCAGGCTGCTACTCAGCCCTCCTTGCTAGCAATTGCAGTCTAGCTCCCCCTAGCTGACTAGGAGGGCGCTATATAAGTATACTTCTTTTGCAGGGTGCCTTCCTTTAAAATTATCTTTTAAAGTGGTTGTAAAGGATTCAGGTTTTTTTTACCTTCATACATTCGATTCTGTGTTCTGCTCCCCCTGCCCCCCCCCCCCCTACTCACCTGAGCCTCCTCTCAGGACTCCCTCTCCTCATTGCTTAACCTCCCTGGCGGTATTCCCGAGTGTAGCTCGATGTAAAATGTCAGTACCAAAAGCGGTAACCCCAAGCTACACTCGGGCTTACCATGCGGCGCTGCATAGGGAGTCCCTGCAGAGCTTACCTTGTCCTCCGCTCCCGCGATGTGTCCCCTGCAGTGTCCCCGGCCATCTCCTCCGGCTGATGCCGGCATCCGGCTTCTGTGTTCCGGTCCCTGTGAGTGTCGGGACATACGGGCGCCGCCGTCGGTGGGAAATGTGAAAATTTTTTTCAAAAAATGACATTTTTTTCAAAACAAATTTTACATAGTAAAACATTACTGTATCAAACCATTTCACATACATTTTGTCCCTAGTGCTTTGTCCTGTGCCCTGCCTGCATTTTTACTGTTCTTTCTGCCTGGAAACTTAGAAAAGTCCATGGCGCCCAAAAAGTGTCCCTTTAGGTCAAAAGCGGGTTTAGACCAGCTAGAGAACAGCGATAGTAAACCAGAACCACTTGCAGAATTGAGTGATAATGATTCGTGGAGAAATTCGTCATCAGACACTGAAAACAATTTTGCGACTTTGCTTAGTGATGTGCGAACTTGGCGCTATATTTCAAATTTCAGTGTTTTTGGTTTGATTATACTATTGAATTAAATGTATTATTATTATATTATTATTTTTCATGATTATTTATTAAATTATAATTTATGATTTTGTGTTTCAAATTTTATCATACCCGGGATGTTAAATAGACTCTTATTCGTACAGATTTCAGTGAGTTATTCCTAAATAGTACAGCCTACAATAAAAAAACTACATATTTCCATGCAAAATAATGATACCGCTTTCAGCACCAAAAATCTGAAATAATCATACTGCTAGGGAGGTTAAGACAGCAGTGGGAATCATTGGTTTCCACTGCTGTCAATCACAGTCAGTGAGCCAATGAGAACAGAGCGGGGGCGGATCCGGGCCGCGGCTCTATTTGTCTTATGGATGCATAGAGCCAGGCTCGAGAGTAAGCGGTTTGCTATTGGGGGCACTGGTCAAAGGGGAGGAGCGCTGGTAGGGGACCCGAGAAGGAGATAATTAGCTTTGCTCTGTGCAAAACCACTGCACAGAGCAGGTAAGCATGACATTTTGTTTTTGCTTTTTTTAAATCCAAACCTTTAATAAGACTTTAAGTCCAAGAGTCTCATGTTAAGGTTCTGAACTTAGACTTATTATATTATGGAGATAATACCATGCAATAGTGTACGCATAGAACAGAATGTACTTTAATATAGCGAAATCTTGCAAAAATCATTACCTTGGTAATGTTTACCAAATAAAGCAGTACTTCCTTAAAAGTGGTTCTTAGCAGTCTGTCCCACAGATTTAAGCAGATTTAGTTCATATTTTTTAATTGGTGAAACATACTGTGCTTAAAGCTATATGTGTAGGAAGCATATGGTCTCTTTCCAGGATACAGTAAGAAATGATTTAGTGAAAAATAGATTACACGGCCATGAAGTAGTGGGTATCTATGGATGATTTGGGGAAATAGGGATATCAATTAGTGTCACTTTAACCACTAGCCTACAGGGTATTTATAGCCCCTTCCTGCCCAGGCCAATTTCCAGCTTTCAGCGCTGTTGCATTTTGAATGACAATTGCGGCGCGGTCATGCAACACTGTACGAATATGAAATTTCTATCATTTTTTTGTGACAGATAGAGCTTTATTTTGGTGGTATTTAATTAACTCTGGGTTTTCTATTTTTTCTGAAACCAAAAACCACTGAAAAAAAAAGTTTTTTCTTAGTTCCTGTTATAAAATTTTGTAAATAAGTTATTTTTCTCCTTCACTGATGTGTGCTAATGAGGCTGCAGTGATGGGCACTGATAGGCTGCACTGATGGACACTGATAGGGAGCACTGATGGGCACTGTTGAGGAGGCACTGGTAGGTGGCACTGATGGGCACTGACAGGCATCACTGATGGGCAGGCATCACTGATATATAGCACTGATAGACGGCACTGACTGGCACTGATTGACGGCACTGACTGGCACTGTTAGGCAGCACTGACTGGCACTGATAGGCGGCACTGATAGGCACTGATAGGCGACACTGATGCACACTGATAGGCGGCACTGACTGGCACTGATAGGCGGTACTGACTGGCACTGATAGGTGGCACTGATTGGCAGCACTGATAGGTGGCACTGATTGGCATTGATAGGTGGCACTGACTGGCACTGATGGGTGACACTGAAAGGCAGCTCAGATGGGCACTGATATGTGGCATTGATGTGCACTGGTAGGCACTGAAATGTGGCATTGATGTGGCACTGATGGGCACTGGCAGGTGGCACTGCTGGGGCTACACTGATCATCAGGGCACACTGATCATCAGTGCTCTGATGATCAGTGTACATGTCCCCTCCGTGGAATGCCGATTACCGGCTCTCCTCTCCTCTCGAGCTGTCAGCGTGACAGCTCGAGAGGAGAGAAATGCCGATAACCGGCATTTCCCTGTTTACATGTGATCAGCTGTGATTGGACACAGCTGATCACATGACTGAGCTGACATCTTTGGCTCTTTCCATGGATTGGTGATCCGCTGTGTCCGAGGGACACAGCGCACCGCCGATCACCCTGCATGCTCGATTAGAATGGGAGGACATCATATGACGTCCTCCCAGAACGAGAGAACCACCTTGCGTCCGTCATATTACTATATGACGGGCGGGAGGCGGTTAAAGAGTAACTTCACTTTTGTTGAAAAAAAAAAACATTTTCCTCTTTGTAAACTATAAACATTGCAAAAGATTTTAACAAACTTTGTTGCAGATTCCTACCTTTTGTTATTCTGAAGAAACAGCAGTTGGTTTGTCTGTGTCCATGTGCTGAGTGATCTGTATGGGAGTGGTTTTATAATTATCCATCAGCTGCTGCTCCTGCAGGGCTCTAATGAGGAAATTGGCAGGGTCTGCATCCTATTAGTGGTGATTTCCCTTTAGTAGTGTTGGACTTGCGTAAGTTCAACTCAAACAAAGGCCATTTGCGTGTTCGGCGAGCACACAAACGGTAAGGGCATTCGTCGGGCTATTCGCCCGACAATGCGCAGTGCTCTGACAGTACATTGTGATTGGCTAAAGCAATGTCCCTGACCACAAGTCAGATGCAATGCTTTGGCCAATCACAGTGCATAGTGACATCACAAGGGGGTGAGGTTGACCCCGCCCATTGTGACATCATCACAGTATGCCATTCCAGCGCAGCTGTCAGACAGCGGTGTCATGGAAATTTTGTATTGTTGGTTGAACTTTAAATGTGTCATATATGACTGTTATTCATATGTCTCTCGTGTGGCTTAATTAAAGCTCTGAAGGCTGCAATTGGGCCATGCGCATGTACAATGTATGTATTACAGTACTCAGCTCGGTAATGGATGAGATGGCAGATCTGCGCTTATAGACCGGCGTGTATACCACCACGGCATTCGATGCGAATGCCGCTGGCAGTAGACCGCGGGCCTGTATCCACATATCAGCAGCATAGTACAACATGGACTCCGTGCCGCAAGGGGCCAAGCGGTACGAACTCTGCGTGTAGGCTTATGCATATCTTACAACCCATTACCGACCTGAACTGTATCTTGGATGGATGTGTTTTAATAAAGATCGTATCGGGCCCATCCAGGTACAGACTGATGTTCCTAGGGGATGCTTGTACAGGGAATGGACATACTGGTAAGAGCTGGGAAATATGCTCTCCATAGAAGGCTCATGGGAGGAAGGGGAGGAAGTCTGCTGACCTCAGAGGGCTCATGGGGGAGGACCAGTGATAGATAATAGGAAAGGCTATGCTCCAATCAGAATGTATATCCTGTGTATAGGCACTCCCCATTGCATTGTTCGGTGGGAGGGGGGCATTGACTTTATTCATGTGGGGGGCATGTGTGTGCTTGTAATAAAACCGAGGGCTGAGTCTGAAGCGGGCCTCTATGTTAATTCAACCATCAACCTGAGGGTGTCGTGTGATCATTCTAGGGTAACGGAGCTCCATCCCCCACATTTCAACAGAAGCTAACCCAGTTGGATGGGCAGGAATCGTGTAGTTTAGCTGCAGTCGTGGTAAGCAAGATTCGCACAGCTTTATGGGGGATTTCTGCGCATCCAACTGCGAGTACTCACGGTAAGGAGAAATTCGTTTAAAGCGAATTTCCAAGACAGCGGGAACCAGCGTTGAGAGTGGAGCGTGGTTTTTTTTTGTTTTTTTTATTCGGGTAGGTGGTGGTGGCGGGCATAATGATTGACGTTGGATCAACTTCAGGGGACATTTTTTTTATTTTTGTTTTTAAAAAAGGACTTGTCAAAGCTGTCTTCTGTCATTTTTTATGCTACATTTTTTTTTTGTAAATGAGTAGCAGTACCATGTACCCAATACTCATTCACATGAGGCAGGCTGGGATCTGGGGACCCCCTTGTTAAAGCTGACTTACAGATTCTGATAAGCCCCCCATCTGCAGACCCCCACAACTACCGTCCATGGTTATGGGGAAGAGGCCCTTGTCCCCATCAACACGGGGCTCGTGTGTTTTTAAAAAAAAATTTACAGCTTAAACATTAAAGAATGTTTTCACTACTAAAATACAGCATGACTTATAATGACTGATAATAAAACTCATGTAGTATTTTAGTAGCTGTGTGGTATCTTACTGCATATTTCGATGCGGTAAGATACCACTAAGGCTCCATGTACACTGCAGCTGATAAACTCACATTTAGGATCTTTTCTGCATTTTGTTCAGCAGCAGCCCCTGAACTCTCCCTAATGTTTTTCCTATGTGTCCATGTACACATCGTCATTTACAGTCATTTATAGCCAGTTGAGTTTACAGTCCTTTTTTGAATTTGTGTTCAAAAGCAGATTTTATCAGCGTTTCAAACGGCAAACGCTTGTAAACGCAGCTAACCGTGTTTATGAGCGTGTGGAAAAATTTTTTAACTCTTCCATTTCCAGATGCTGTCCAGAGCCTTTTTTCCTCATTAAAAATGCATGCAAAGCGTTTTCCCGGTACTCAAATGGACCTGGTACACCATACTTTGAGGTTTCACATTAAAGAAAATATTTTAGACACTGCTGCAATAATTTCTGCACAGAAATGAGCTGGAACACATCAAAACACCACAAAAAAAAAGACAGCTAATCTCAACAAATACTGCTCTCTCTGCTTCTGCTCTATTTCTCTCAAAATGTCTGAAATAGTAAATTTTTGACTGTTTTTCAGTGCATTCTGGGCATTTTGGAAGGTCTCCTGAGGTTATCTTTAAAAAAGGCTTCTAAACACAAATGCTCATAAACACGGTATGTAAACATGGCTAAACAGACATTTTTTAACCTACGTTTTCCAGCAGTGAATTTCCATCGTTCAGAAATGTTCTGTGTACATGGAGCGTTAGTGATTTGTCCCTCTGTTCGAAGTTCGTGGTTGAACTCTTGTTGGGTTCGAGAGTTCGACTGCAGATGGAAGAGGGGGGTGTTCAGCCCATCACTATCCTTTAGGAGTATCTCACCGAAAATGACATTTTTGTTAAAAAAATGACAAAAATCTGACTTTTGGGGATGCCAAAAAATCTGATGTATCTTAGTTAGGAAAGTCAGTGAGCCAGTGACACAAGAAGGAAATGATGTTTCTGGGTGTACAGAACACCTCCAGATTGCCATATTGCATTTTACAGAAATGACAGCGCTGCAGATTAAAAAGGAAGGATAATTTTAAAAACATTCAATTTTAATATGACTCGAGTCATAATGGTATATGTCATATTATTTTGTTTTTTTATTTGCTAATTTTTGTCCCCATGAAAGTGGCGTTACCTTTTAAATCCCTATGGAGTCCAGCAACATTGCATATATAAATTTAATTTTATGAAGGTATTTTAAAAACCATTTCACCCTGACATGTTGTTTTTATTTTTTAATGTAAAAACCTTTTCTCAAGAGGTCTGTTGTTCTGCCAACAAAATGCTTTCGTCACCATCATCCATTCATGTACCAGTGACCCTTTAATGACATCAGCTTGCATTGTTATCTGTCTGCTTACAGCAGCAATATACTTTCTAGATAAACAACACTTTAATAAATAGAAAGCGATCTATAATGCTTCAGAAACATAATAGTTCTCAGTCGTTCTCCTGCAGTTAATTAGTGCATAATAAACTTCAGGAAAGCGGCAGGAAGCAGCTAAAATATCCTGTTGTGTGACACTCGATCATGCGTCTTTATTATTATTTTTGTATGTGTGGAGTGTGCAGGACTGATATTAAGTGATGATGTGTTTGTGTGGAGGAACTGTGCATTGTTAAAATGTTCCATGGATTTCCATGCTGTTAGACTCCTTTCCTTTTCCTGTCTGCCATACAGCAGCAGTTTTAAATCTTTCCTTGGATCATATGACAAATGTTGAAAATAGGACAGAGGAAGAACATTGCTCAGATAATAATAGGTAACATTCTTTCATTATGATACAGCGCAGATCAAACTGGACAATGTTTTACAGTGAAAATAATGGCATTCACAAAATATCTACAAGTTTAAATGCTGTCCACTTAATGTGAAAAGTACCTGTGCTTAGAGCAAAGCAACAAGTTCATCTAAAGTGTTCTTAAACTCACAACTGTAAAATAAGCCAGTATAGCCAGTAAAGCATGCTTGTTATACTCACGGTGAAACCTAAGGGGTTAATTCTCCACATTGTGTAAAAAGGATGTTAGATCCTGTCTTCTCTGATCCTCCCGTTCTTCTACTGTCCCCAATCCATCTGCTGATAGAACAGAGGCTTGGAGGCATGCTGCACATGCTCAGTTTAGTGTGTATTGCTAGAGAGTTTTTACTTTTCTTGGGAGAGTGCATGTGATCATCACAGGGCCAATCAGTGCTGTCCAGACAGAGGTCGGGGTCCTGCATCCTCCTACAGGAGAATGAAAACCAGTGCTCTGCTGGACACTGATAGAAGTGACAAGACTACTCTAACCGCTGATGAGAAAAGGTATTTAGCAGTTTATATTTACTAAACTAATTGCATTTCCATGTTCTGTGTACTGTTGGAGACCAGATATAGTGAATGCAGGGTCTTGGGTTTAGTAACACTTTAAGACCCGGCTCACATATCTGGGAACTGGATGCATTTTGAACCGCATCCGATTCGCATATGTGAAAAAACGCTTGTTTCTATTGTGGGTGTATATGTGGTGTATCCGCAGTGCGAATTGAAAAGGAGTCCTGTCCAATTTTTGAGCAGTGCGATGTGGGTCCAGTGCCAATTACAGGCTCAATGTATGGGAATACGTTTTAATTGCACATGTCATCAGTTTTGAACACGATTTTAGTTATTTTAACTTCCCTTCTGCTCCTCCCCTCTTCTCCGGTGTTATGGCTGGTTGATAGCTGAATGCAAACAAAAGAATTGCCAGGGCATGGTGGGTCAATGATGTCACAAGGGGCGGGGTCGCCAGGTGACATCACCATATAGTCCCGCCCCTTAGTTTATTTAGCTACAGGAGGCAACCTAGCTGTCAGATGGAGGGACTCAGTATCGAGTACAGAGCAACACCATTCAGCTTGATTGACAC